TAGTTAGACTAGGAAATCATTGAACAAGTTTCTCTTCGAAGTCATTTGATGCTAATTATACACAAAAAGAAATTGTATCTCTTTTGAGAATGAGCCCATTCGACTCAAGATCTGTATCAATCAAAATCAATCTGTTGATTGCTGAAAGATTTATTCTGTTTGAAAAATTTAATGCATGTATGTTATTGACATGAAATACTTCTCATTTAAACTGACTCAATTTGACATTACTTAAATGGTCAAATATTCTAAGATGTTGTTTCAATACTTAAATTGAATATGTATCAGATTCTCCGATTTATCAAATAAAAACGAAACTATATCAGATGATCATAAGCATATACACAAGTTTTACTATTATTTCTATCAAAAAACATTGTATAGACAAATGGGACAAAGACAAAAACTGCTAATAATAGTGACATAAATTATATGAGGAATTTTTTTTTTCTTCTGTTTATTATAGTAAACAATTTCAAGAGTAATAGAGAGATAAAGAACAACAAGAAAATATCAGGAAATAACGAGACACAATATACAAAAAAAAAACACCGAGTAAAGTTATTTTATTTCTTGCGACATTTTTCACTAGTTCACTCTTCTCGATCATCTGCATGACTATGTTTAGACGATGAACTAGAAGATTGGTTAGCTGATGAAGCTGAACTACTAACACTACCATATCGTACATCTTTTAAGAAATCACTTAAACTAAATGGATCTTCATCACGTTGAAATTACACAGGATCGTCACGTAGTGCTGCTCGATCAGCTCCTTTGAAATCACGTTCTTGTTCGAATCTAAAAAAAAAGATTAAAACTCTTTCAACAATTAAAGAAAAAAAGAATGAACCGTTTAGAAGCATTAATTAAGGCTTCAGTATCATCAAAATTATCTTTTGTTGTTTTTTATTGGTTTATTAATTTGAGAAGCAACAATAGTTGAGGAATTCCAAGGTTGATCATATACATTATAAGCTTCATCATCACCCAAACTACTACCAAAACCCTACAAATAGAAAAAAAAACCGTTTAATGATTGAAAGAAAATGAAAAACAAATGTTTTACTGCCGACATATTAAATAGACATTGATCATATTGAACACTTGTAGTACTTGCAGTTTGTACATCCAATACAATTTATTTACTAATATCACGTTCTTTCGGACAATTTCTAAAATAAAAACAAGAAAAAAAGAATAACATTTTACTTTAGATTATTTGTTTTTTACCATTTATCGCCTCGAGCTCGTTGAAGAGCACCAGCATGTTGTCAATCTTTTTGTCTTTCTTATCGGATTTGATCACGTTCAGCACTTTGATCATCACTCTTATCTAATCGAAAGAAAAAAATAGTCATTTATTTCAAGTAGACAAATAAATAATTTACCAGCAAGACAAATGCCTGTTCGAGCATGAAGAGCTAATTCACGTAATTGTTCTTCTTTTTCTTCTTTTTGTTTCTTAGCTATTTGTTTTTCCACTTTAGCACGCATATCAACTGCTTCACGAGCCTAAAATAAAAACAGAAAAAAAAATATATATATATTTTTTTTTTCGATTCATAAGATAAATCTCACCTTCAAATCAGCTGTGTATAAAGATTTAGCAAGTTTAGCGAAATTCTCATTGATTTGTATACTTTGAAGACCACGATCATCGGCTGCTAAAAATGTTTATCAAGTAGAATTGTATAATCCTAAAAGAATTTATTCATTGTCAAATAAAATAACTAAAATAAACAATTCATACTTTAGTATTTTTCCAATTGGAAATACATAATGAGATCTTCCAATTTTGTTGTTCTTTTATAGTAACTTTTCGTGTCGGTGAATGAAGAATTGGAACTGGAGGACTTGAAGGTTCACAAGGAATTTTCTTTACTCACTTAAATCGAGGTGGTTCCATAAGATCTTTTTGAACTTCAAAAATTTGAATAATACATTGTTTAGCATCAGAAATTAAAAGAAGGTTCTTGTTGTGATGATCTATAACGAATGTATTGAACAAGACAAGTGCTTGTTTTTCTGCATGTTGAATTGATATAGCAGCTGATACTTTAAATGATACAAGAGCTTCAAGAACTTGACGTGTTTTTTCTATTTTCTAAATAAAAGAAATTAGTGTAAATTAATAATCATTATATGATTTACCTCTTTTAATTTGTCTTCAGATGGTTTTTGTAAACTTGGATCATTTTCACGAAGTTCTTTTGGGTAGTAAATCGACAAAATGTGAATAGAGAATCTAATAAAGAAGATAGAAATAAAAAAAATCAAACAAAAAGAAACTAACTTACTTTGTTGCCATTAATATTGTGTTTGAGAATAATATCAAATTTTATTTTCTCTTCAGTATCAACTTTAAGTTGAATTGCATTTGATAGTTCGTGCATTATTAGACGGATATTTGTACAACTGTAGGATAATAATATCCCTATTGTTTAATACATACACAAGAGGAAAAATTCCCTTTTACGGATCATATCTCACCATATATTTAGAAGTATCAGCGGATACATTGATTTGCAGTGAAGTGGTTTTTAGTAATTTTTTTTCTCTGCCATCGAGGGCGGCTGAAGTGTTTACTTTGGTATTTAGGGAGATGATGAAATTCTTTCAATAAATGATGAACTGTCTATTGATATGAATCGTGAACATGCTACTAATATGCTTCGTTTAGCTGCTGCTACAAATCAAGTTCAACTTCGTGTTAAACTTTTTTTTGCCACCATTATCATCATTTGAATATCAGAAACTATTACATAATGAAAAATTTATTAGTTCTAGAATATTGGTCAAAACAGAAAAAAAGATACAACACTGAATAAGAAGAAAATAAACTTATACAAGAATGAATAAGAAGAAAAT